CGAGATCGAGATCGAGATAGAGATAGAGATCGAGATAGATCGAGATCGAGATCGAGTCGAGATCGAGATCGAGATCGAGATCGAGATCGAGATCGAGATCGAGATAGAATAGAGGATCGAGATAGAGATAGAGGATTCGAGATAGAGGGATCGAGATCAGAGATAGAGGGATCGAGATAGAGATCGAGATCGAGATAGATCGAGATCGAGATCGAGATAGAGGGATCGAGATCGAGATCGATCGAGATAGAGATCGAGATAGAGATCGAGATCGAGATCGAGGATCGAGATCGAGATCAGAGATCGAGATCGGAGATCGAGATGAGGGATCGAGATCGAGAATCGAGATAGAGGATCTAGATAGAGATCGAGATAGAGATAGAGGGATCGAGATGAGGGAACGAGATAGAGATAGAGGGATCGAGGATCGATCGATCGAGATCGAGATAGAGCGATCGAGATCGAGATCGAGATAGAGGATCGAATCGAGATCGAGATAGAGGGATCGAGATTCGAGATCGAGATAGAGGGATCGAGATCGAGATCGAGATAGAGATCGAGATAGAGGGATCGAGATAGAGGGATCGAGATCGAGATCGAGATCGAGATAGAGGGATCGAGATCGAGATCGATCGAGATAGAGGGATCGAGATAGAGATCGAGATAGAGATCGAGATAGAGATCGAGATCGAGATCGAGATAGAGGGATCGAGATAGAGATCGAGATAGAGGGATCGAGATCGAGATCGAGATCGAGATAGAGGGATCGAGATAGAGATCGAGATAGAGGGATCGAGATCGAGATCGAGATAGAGGGATCGAGATCGAGATCGAGATCGAGATAGAGGGATCGAGATCGAGATCGAGATCGAGATAGAGGGATCGAGATCGAGATCGAGAGATCGAGATAGAGGGATCGAGATCGAGATCGAGATCGAGATCGAGATAGAGGATCGAGATCGAGATAGAGGGATCGAGATCGAGATCGAGATAGATCGAGATCGAGATCGAGATCGAGATCGAGATAGATCGAGATCGAGATCGAGATCGAGATAGAGATCGAGATCGAGATCGAGATAGAGGGATCGAGATCGAGATCGAGATCGAGATAGAGGGATCGAGATCGAGATAGAGATCGAGATCGAGATCGAGATAGAGGGATCGAGATCGAGATCGAGATAGAGGGACGAGATATAGAGGATCGAGATAGAGATCGAGGGATCGAGATCGAGATCGAGATAGAGGATCGAGATCGAGATCGAGATCGAGGGATAGAGGGATCGAGATAGAGGGATCGAGATCGAGATAGAGGGATCGAGATCGAGATAGAGGGATCGAGATCGAGATCGAGTAGAGGGATCGAGATCGAGATCGAGATAGAGGGATCGAGATCGAGATCGAGATAGAGGGATCGAGATCGAGATCGAGATCGAGATCAGAGGATCGAGATCGAGATAGAGATCGATGGATCGAGATCGAGATCGAGATCGAGATCGAGATAGAGGGATCGAGATAGAGATAGAGGATCGATAGAGGGATCGAGATAGAGATAGAGGATCGAGATAGAGGTCGATCGAGATAGAGGGATCGAGATCGAGATCGAGATAGAGAGATAGAGATCGAGATAGAGGCGAGATACGAGAGAGAGATAGAGATCGAGATCGAGATCGAGATCGAGATCGAGATCGAGATAGAGATCGATCGAGATCGAGATAGAGGGATCGAGATAGAGGGATCGAGATCGAGATCGAGATCGAGATAGAGGGATCGAGATCGAGATAGAGAGATCGAGATCGAGATCGAGATAGAGGATCGAGATAGAGATCGAGATCGAGATCGGAGATAGAGGGATCGAGATAGATCGAGATAGAGATAGAGGGATCGAGATCGAGATCGAGAAAGAGGGATCGAGTCGAGATCGAGAGGGATCGAGAGAGATAGAATCGAGATAGAGGGATCGAGATCGAGATCGAGATAGAGGGATCGATAGAGATAGAGAGGATCGAGATCGAGATCGAGATAGAGGGATCGAGATCGAGATAGAGATCGAGATAGATCGGGATCGAGATCGAGATAGAGGGATCGAGATAGAGGGATCGAGATCGAGATCGAGATAGAGATCGAGATAGAGGGATCGAGATAGAGGGATCGAGATAGAGGGATCGAGATCGAGATCGAGATAGAGGATCGAGATCGAGATCGATAGAGGGATCGAGATCGAGATCGAGATCGAGATCGAGATTAGAGGGATCAAGATCGAGATCGAGATAGAGATAGAGGGATCGAGATCGAGATCGAGATAGAGGGATCGAGATCGAGATCGAGATAGAGGGATTCGAGATCGAGATCGAGATAGAGGATCAAGATCGAGATCGAGATAGAGATCGAGATCGAGATAGAGGGATCAAGATCGAGATCGAGATCGAGATCGAGAGATCGAGATCGAGATCGAGATCGAGATCGAGATCGAGATCGAGATCGAGATAGAGGGATCGAGATCGAGATCGAGATAGAGATAGAGATAGAGGGATCGAGATCGAGATCGAGATAGAGGGATCGAGATCGAGATCGAGATAGAGATAGAGGATCGAGATCGAGATAGAGGGATCGAGATCGAGATCGAGATAGAGGGATCGAGATCGAGATCGAGATAGAGGGATCGAGCGAGATCGAGAGATCGAGGGATCGAGATCGAGATAGAGATAGAGGGAGAGAGATAGAGATAGAGGGAGAGAGATAGAGATAGAGATAGAGATAGAGAGATAGAGGAGAGAGATAGAGAGATACAGATAGAGAGATAGAGGAGAGAGAGATAGAGAGATACAGATAGAGAGATAGATGATGGAGGGAGAGAGATAGAGAGATAGAGATACAGAGATAGATGATGGAGGGAGAAAGATAGACATAGAGGGAGAGAGATAGAAATAGAGGGAGAAAGATAGACATAGAGGGAGAGAGATAGAAATAGAGGGAGAGAGATAGAAATAGAGGGAGAGAAACAGAGATAGAGATAGAGAGAGAGAAATAGAGATAGAGAGATAGAGATAGAGGGAGAGAGATAGAGATAGAGGGAGAGAGATAGAGATAGAGAGAGAGATAGAGGGAGAGATATAGAAATAGAGGGAGAGAGATAGAGATGGAGGGAGAGAGATAGAGATGGAGGGAGAGAGAGAGAGATGGAGGGAGAGAGATAGAGATGGAGGGAGAGAGATAGAGATATAGAGATACAGAGATAGATGATGGAGGGAGAAAGATAGACATAGAGGGAGAGAGATAGAAATAGAGGGAGAAAGATAGACATAGAGGGAGAGAGATAGAAATAGAGGGAGAGATAGAAATAGAGGGAGAGAGATAGAAATAGAGGGAGAGAAACAGAGATAGAGATAGAGAGAGAGAAATAGAGATAGAGATATAGAGATAGAGGGAGAGAGATAGAGATAGAGAGAGAGATAGAAATAGAGGGAGAGAAATAGAGATGGAGGGAGAGAAATAGAGATGGAGGGAGAGAGATAGAGATGGAGGGAGAGAGATAGAGATGGAGGGGGAGAGATAGAGATGGAGGGGGAGAGATAGAGATGGAGGGAGATAGATAGAGATGGAGGGAGAGAGATAGAAATAGAGAGAGAGAGATAGAAATAGAGGGAGAGAAACAGAGATAGAGAGATAGAAATAGAGATAGAGATAGAAATAGAGGGAGAGAGATAGAGATAGAGGGAGAGAGAGATAGAGATAGAGGGAGAGAGATAGATATAGAGATAGAGAGAGAGATAGAGATAGAGAGATAGAGATAGAGAGAGATAGAGATAGAATAGAGAGATAGAGGAGAGAGATAGAGATAGAGAGACGGGAGATAGAGATAGAGAGAGAGATAGAGATAGAGAAGGGAGAGAGATAGAATAGAGAGAGAGAGAGATAGAAATAGAGGAGAGAGAGATAGATAGATAGAGATAGAGAGAGAGAGAGATAGAGATAGATAGAGAGAGAGAGAGATAGAGATAGAGATAGAGGGAGAGAGATAGAGATAGAGATAGAGGGAGAGAGATAGAGATGGAGGGAGAGAGATAGAGATAGAGAGGATAGAGATAGAGTAGAGAGAGGAGAGAGATAGACAGAGGGAGAGAGATAGAAATAGAGATAGAGAGATAGAAATAGAGGGAGAGAGATAGAGATAGAGGGAGAGAGATAGAGATAGAGAGATAGAGGGAGAGAGATAGAGATGGAGGGAGATAGATAGAGATGGAGGGAGATAGATAGAGATAGAGGGAGAGAGATGGAGATAGGAGGGAGATAGATAAAGATAGGAGGGAGATATGCTCAATAAACAGACGGCTTTCTCTGAAATGTCAGAAATTTCTTACCTTTTGTTTTCTGCAAATCTTGATGTTTAAGGGATCACTCCATGTGCATAAACAACCCATCCAGCAATTGGGTCATTTGCCATTCATAAAGACAATGAATCAGGTTGGAAAACCTTACGATTTACATTTGCAGATAATGTAACATGTGATTCGTATGTTACCTTCTTAAAATAATGTGTTTTACATTTTTAACGAAAACCAATACTTTTACATGTGCATTTTTTTGTTTAAAATAATTTGAGATTAAATGTTGCCATTGATGTTTGGCTATCTTAACTGTACTTAAAGTTTCGTTATACCATTTCCGATTGTTCTTTTTAAGGAAAACACCACATATTTCAAGCAACTATATTGATATTAGACAATACTTGGCTGGTATTAGTTGCCATTGAATATATTTGCGAAATACCAGACATCAATCACAGACTTCCATACGAACAAGAGCATTCCATTCACAAAATACTAAGCATGTATTGCCAGAAAAAAAATAGTCTACGCACCATAAGGGTGTGCCAGTTAGAAATGTCCGCAATTATTTAGTGTTAACAAATTTTCACGATTGCTTATGATGGTAATGATGTTTTTGATTTACATCAGTATCGAAACATGATGAACGAATGTGAATATAATAAAACTGTTGCATGATTTAATAAAAATTTATTTTTAATATGTGGTCACCCCTGGTATGTAGGATTATTAAATGTTACATGGTGCCGAGGCTGGCAGAACAACAGGACAATGATTTTTCTTAAATCAATAAATTTTTCTTTCTTTAATACCTTGCCTAAGAATAAAGAAACAAATTTAAATCCCTGCTTCAAGAATACTTAGATGACTAACTATGTTGGTTATTCCACTTCTTCAACTGAACAAATGATATATACAACTCCTTGCAGAAAGCCTTTATAGCCTCGGCTTTCTGTTACCTCGTGCGTGAACCCCAGCTTGGAGCACAGTAAGGGCGACGCATTTATGTTCCACTTTTCATGCTGGAAGGTGAACCATCGTCCTCGCACTCGAACCAGAAAGAAGCCTTCCATGTGCACTGGGAGCAACCTGGTGATTGAGTTCATTTAAGAGAATCTAGTGCTAGGTGTATATCTATGAACTAAAGCTTAAATAATTCTTGAAGATTAGTGAACTGACAGCAATTACTGTTAATCTATTGACAAAAGTGTCCTGTTCAAGATTCCAGTCAATCATAGTAAACAAAATAGGCCTACCCTAATGCATCCTCATCGATTGGTATTTCAGGTGCAAGCGCCACACAGCTAGCTTCATCCTCGCCTTCTGAACAATCTTTGTTGCCATCACAGACATTGACACGAGGGATACAACCCTGGCCATCGGACCTGTTCATAAACACACATGATAAAAGGGAAATAAATATAATCTATATAGAGTTCTGTTAAAAATTCTGGGTCTTTAAAGAAGTGTTTGGACCATTTTCCAATTCTAAATTTAAAACTCCAATGTGTAACTGTTTATGACGAACAAAGCAAGAACTATTAACGCGAATGGTACCAGATATCCAGCCACCACATAATTTGACTACTGTCCTTCCATACCTTGCTAACACACAGGTATAAGACAACTTGTTGCTGATATACAGGTTGTTCTTTCTAGATCAAACTGTCTACCCCAAGATCCTCAGTATATGTTAAGTGGTATGGTCAGAACAGGCATGGACTACCAACTGCCAAATTTTCCAACTTTCATTAAGATCTTAAACCCGAGGCATCAACAGTGTATAACAGCTGTTTAGCACTTAAAATCCCAGTGAATATCTGAATCCCATGCTGGACTTCCAAAGTTGAGGGAATAAATGCATTCAAATGGAACAGAAAAATTTCTTGGGTTATGTCTTAGATTATTTGTATGTTTTCAAGAGTGTTTGGAGGGGATTAGGGTGGGGTGGTCTGAGAAACAAAGGTTCTCTTGTGAGAAGTAGAGGGGATAGATGTTTGAGGAGCAGAGGAAAATGAGGTTGTAGGAGAGAATGTGGAAGGTGAAGATGGAATGGAACATTTACGTTGTCTGGTGCGACAAGTTTAGTGAAGAGGAGGAGGGGTAGGCATTGGAGGAGGGGTAAGCATCAGAGAAGTGGTAAACATTGATCTGGATTTAAATTTAAAAAAAAATTTGACTAGGGGAAAAGGGGAGCAGATTGCGGAAGAGAGTGAATGGAACAGGTAAAGAGAAAAACTACATCGGTGTGCTAACCTTGTACTGTCAGGTGAATCACAATGAATCGATCCAATCTAGCTGGGTCAAACAGAGCACTCAAAAACTTTGCAGAGGTGGAGCAGTAGAGGGAAACAGGTGGGAGGACGATTTGGTGGTGTGGGGCGAGGTAGTATATTGGGGGGGGCAATAATGATGAAAAGTAATTTTGTGGCAGGAGGAGTAGACAATGAAGACAGTGCAAGAGGAGATGGAGGGGAAAATGGAAGAGGAAGGGGTTCATTCTGAAGGTTGAGTAGTGACCTGAATGAATGGTTTGGAACTAATAGAATCGTCATTAGAAATCGAAGAGGGGTTATTAGTATCTGTGGTTGGAGATGTGGTCAAAGGAAGTAGGGGGTTGGATAAATCAATGAAATCAAATTTAGATAGGCTATTTGATGAAGGGGTAGGCATATGCCCTTAATAAGGGTAAAACAATATCATTACTGGCCAATATGAGCCTGAAATAAATGGAGAAAAGAAATGCCTCAGGGTTCCTATAAGGCGTAAGGGCTAAGGGATTAACCAAAGGAAACCCGTGCCCACGGCTCTCGGACGCCGTTCATGATTGACACAAAGCTATCCTCTCATCCTTTCAGCACGGCTCTCGCCTTAGGAAATGGGCAGAAGAACAGATGAAGAGAAGGAAAAGGGAAGGGGGAGAAGAAAAGATCTTTCAAAATTAAAGGTGAGGGTTGATACCCAAGGTCTCAATGGGTCTCAGCCCGTCTCCTAAGCCCCCCAGCTACAACAAGCAACAGTATGGGGTGTTTATCTAAGAGGTGGAAGATTCAGACCAAAAAAATAAAATGCACTGCCTAGTCTCCAGCTTCAAGTAAATCTACTTTCCTAGACCAAAGAAAGGAATCACCTAGTCAGGAAAGTGATAGAATGAGCCAGGTTAATAGACAACTTAATCACTGAATCACGGGCTCCAACATATTGGATATCACTGACATGCTTCAAAAGATATTAACATATGACAAGCATTATTTCATAATGGAATGCAACCAGCAAAAACTCTAGGCTTGATCAAATAGGATAAGACAACCATTCCTTGTACCAGGACTGCCAAATCCCCCACTAGAAATACCAACTGATATTTTCTATTTTTTTATAGACCTTTCAGTGGCATCTTTTCCAGTGGCAATGAGGCTCGAGTGACATGGAGACGAGACACACAAAACTACCTAATCTTGGGAATGGCCACAATTGGCTGCTAGCTGTCTTACTGTAAAGGTCATTTGTAGACTGGTACACAAAACTGTTGAATATAATAATCTAGATGGCTTTTGATGAGATGTTCTGTGTTATAGTTGCCTAATATAAGTACGAATATGAATGAAAATAATCGAGGCGAGATAAATCACTGAATGTTTACTACCTATGCAATTCCTATCGCCCGTGGTGTGTTGTGTAGGGCGTAACTGTCGGTTCACCTGCTGAAGGGCATCAGATCCCTCTCTTACTAGGAGTGCTTCCAGCACCCAGTAGTATGCCAGTGGTTGTGAAATTAAACAAGAAAGAATGGTTTCCTGGACCTCACTTTTTGACGCCATCTACACAGTTGTAACTGCCAGGCTGCAAGCCTGTAGCTATCGAAGTAACTACCCACTCCAAGCACAACTCTTCCCGGCTCGCATGCACCAATCATAGCCGAGCTTTGTGTCACCCAGCATCCAGACTTGAGTGAACAGACTAATTATTTTTACTGTGTGCAATGGTGTTTACAGTTAATTCTATTCATAACAATAGTAATTTCATTCGCATTTATATCCCAGAAATTAGAGTTTCATATGTAGGAAACAGCAATGAATTGGCACTAAAAGTTCACATACTTGTAACATCTGAAGTACTCGGTCACGGGAGTACACCCACAGATCGATTCATCCTCCTGGTCATCACAGTCGATGTTACCATCACACAGCTTTCCTGGGTTGTCCCGCCACAGCAACTAGAAATGTTTATTCTAATATATAATTAAAGAAAAAATATATTGTTCATGGAAAAGTTTTAAGAGTGATCTCGAGATATTAGAAATGAGAAATGAAGACTAAGAAGAAATTAGAGGTAAAATCAATCCAAATCCAGATTCACCTTACCATAGATATGAACATAGATAGACATGGATATAGATCAGTGGTTCTCAACCTGTGCGCCGCGGCGCAGAAGTGTGCCGCGACCATCCCTCAAGTGTGCAGCGAAAGTTTAATGGATATCTAGTTATCTCTTGAATTTGTGCCTTGCATCTAGCCACCTTATTTTCACAATTATTTTTCCCAGTGTCCCTAATAAAATCGAAAGAATATGCAAATCCAGACAGGCGCAAGTGTCCCCTTAATGATATATTTCAGTCCCATGTGCTCATTAATTCATTCATATATATGATAATAAAAACAACAATAATGATATTGATAATAAAAATAACATTACGTATTATTATTATTATTATTACTGTATAGTTAGTGCGTCAACAATGTCCAGGCTATATCATTATGCCAATGCAAAAAGCCATAATTGTGCAGAAAAAGATAACATTATGGAGAGGAGTTATGAAATCTTGATACATTACACGAGTGTCCATTTTGGTCGAGACTACATGCCAAACACCAGGGAATTTCTCCAACCAAATTTTAGTCAATGTTCAGACTGCGGGACACTTGGATCCAACAGGTCCAGTAATAAAGAGGTGATTGTTAGCAATCCATAAAGGGGGCAGCTACATACACCCAACATATTCAATTATCTATTTATTTACTTTTAGGATTTTTATATCAGACAAATACCTATGACAAATATAAACAGTCTAAAAATGTGATGGCCTACGTCTAGGTGATCCCTGCCTTTGAAAAGAAGAAAAGAATGATAAAAAGTATGTACAAATCATTTAAAAAAGGATTCTTAAAGCTGCTTACCCGAGCACAAGTGCAACTGATCTCGTCCGTCCCGTTTACACAATCTTCTAGACCATCACACACACGGCTTCGTGGAATACATACACCATCCTGGCATGGCATTCCGCCATCATCACAAACTGAACAGTACATTTGAAAGTGTTTGAAGATGTAATAGTAATAGTAATTGGCAACATGGGTATCTAAAGTTTTGATATCAAAGCATACCTAGTAAATAAGCCAGGCAGGGCTTTAATTTAAGAAGAACAAGGTTTAAACTCCTTACCACATGTATTCTCATCATTAGAAAGCCGGCATGCACTCAGCTGTGGTGGGCATGTTAAAGGTTCATCGCTAAGATCTGGACAAGTAAGGAATCCATTGCAGTGATCATCAGTGGAGGTGCAAATCCCAGTGGGGCACATCCTGCCCTGACACTTAGCCAAGGTCTGTGGGCTATACTGAGCTAGAAAAAAGAATTATTTAAAGATGATGTTACAGGATGAGGCCCCTTTGGGTATCTTTATTGAAAGATAATTAGGAGAGTTGGATGCGAAAGAGCTGAAATTTAGGAGGATAAGGCTGTGAGCATGGTAACATTAAGTGTTCCCCTAATCAAAAAATTCAATGGCTTACCGAAATCTCAAGTCTGTATATGCAACTGTATATTATAAACCACATCTGACAATTGTTTTAATCATAGACGACCGTGTTTACTGCCTTCCTTACCACATCCATGACTATGAACCCAAACTGTTCAAGTTGTATTATCATCAGCAAAAAAAATTCCAGTAAATCTTCAGAATATCTTATGTGGCCAAGAAAGATGATAGCGCTATCGCTGGATTTCTTTCACTCCCTAAGACTTGGCCCCAATAGCAGGAAAGGGAATAAAGGGAAGTCATCAACTAAATTATACCATGGAAGATGAAGACTACAACATATATATGGGAGGAGAGAGGGTATTGCTATCATGATTGGCGATTGCAGTGATAACATCTCTCCAGCTCTCTCCACCCCAGTTCATCGACTCAGCTCCCGAAAGAGCTGCCCCATCTCCTTATAGTTGCTATTACCAGCGGTTCCACTACCTGCATCATGTCACAAGATTTCCCACCACATGAAGATCTGCTATGAGATGTCTGCAGTCACTGGGAGACGAGTCAACCCGATGAGGCGCCTTCACTTGCTGAGATGTTGCCCTCCCGTTCCTACTGCTGGGGCGGTCTTTTCCTAGGCGTGGTGATGCTGGTCACCATCTTCCTCCTGGGAAGCTGCTGGCGAAGATGTAACGTCGGTGCAGGGCCTCTTTGCTTCGCCCTCTTTGCCCCTTTCTCCTTGCGTCCTGTGGGATCTGGTTAGTATCTGCTAAGGCCAGCCAACTTCTGTAGGGTACAGGGCGCCTGCGCCGTCGGGAGGAGTTTCAGGGCCTCTGCCACAGGTCCTACAGACTATTTCAGCCTTTGCTATCTAGGTTGGTTTAGTGGAAGAACACCGGAACGTGCTTTACAAAGGCAGAAGGGGACGTCAGCGGGAGGACTTCGCGCCTTCAGAGGGTCGACGTCGGGCGGCTTCCAACGGCTGTCTAAGGCGTTTTTTATAGTTTTTTTTTTTTTTTATAGTTCCGGAGGATGGTGACACCGACCCTCTAACGTCGTTGATGAGCAGAGTCTGCACATGTCGCAGAGATAGCCATCCCTGTTTGTGGAGGCGGTTTCCCACAAATGCCGATATTTTGGCCACAGATTGACACCTTATAAAATCTTTCAAATACCTATACCCAAGGTGTACACTTACTGGGTGGCCCAGGCATAACCTGGGCTATCTGACTACTCTTGGATAGGGGATCAGAAAAAAAGTTTCTGGATCATCACCCAGACTTCAGCTTTAGCTATAGCAAGACTCACTTTCCGCTGCTCTTAAATGAACTGTATCTTGTTCTCAGAATAAAACAATCACTATTTCTGTTACCACCTGTATCTAAAGCATGACTGAGCATAAGAGCGGTCACAAGGATAAGAAGATGTACCAAAGACACATGCAGACTCGAATAAATCAGGTTATGTACTGGGCAACATACCGACTGGCTATACATTTCCACAAAAGAGGAAAGTTCCATCTTTCCCTCTATTTAGGAGCAAACCCTTTGGGTTTTGTCCAAGAGGTGAAGTGCTTGAGTCTCATTATTGTCCCAGGGCTGACATATATATATATATATATATATATATATATATATATATATATATATATATATATATATATATATATATATATATATATATATATATATATATATATATATATTATATATATATATATTATATATATATATATTATATATATATATATATATATTATATATATATATTATTATATATATATATATATATTATATATATTAATATTATATATATATATATATATTATATATATATATATATATATATATATATATATATATATATATATATATATTATATATATATATATATATATATATATATATATATATATATATATATATATATATATAATATATATATTATATATATATATATATATATATATATATATATATATATATATATATATATATATATATATATATATATATATTATATATATATTATAATATATATATATATATATATATATATATATATATATATATATATAATATATATATATATATATATATATATATATATATATATATAATATATATATATATATATATTATATATTATATATATATATATATATATATATATATATTATATATATTATATATTATATATATATATATATATTATATATATATATATATATATATATATATATATATATATATATTATATATATATATATATATATTTATATATATATATATATATATATATTATATATATATA